GGTTTCCAGCCAAACAAAAGACAGGCATATGAATTAAACATTTACCTCAAGTAGATACACTCCTTGGAGAGAACAATCATGGGAGAAAGAAGGGCTACTTATGCACAGGGAGACAGCTCAGGGGGCAGGAATGCATGAAGGGATGGACACAGGGAAGAGGTAACTGTGGGGAGGAAGTGGGAAAATAGAAATATTGGAATTCTTAATAATTTCCTATTAATGGCCCTTTGTTTTCATTTTGCACTGGGCCCCACTATGCAGGGGCCTTCACTCAATCACAATAGAACTGGCAGAATGCTAAAGAACACTTACTGGGTCAGGCATTAACTATTTAGTTACTGGATCATGAGAAGGTCCAGATGTTCTCTCAGGAGAGGTGTGAGGGGAGCATGAGGGTGGTAGCTAGCTTCCAACTTTCTTGTACCTCCATCTGGCCTTGGCAGTTCTGGTTCCCTTACACAAGATCATCTGGTTCAGTCCTTCCAGAAAGTAAGCTTTTAATGTTCTGATTGAGATATTTGTGAGGGCAGGGTTGTTGGCTGATTGAGTTGTATGGGAAGCTTCTCCTGCCTCCTTTTAAGGACTTTGTAACACCTCTTTTTAAGGATTTTTATTCAATCTTGTTTTCTGCTGTCCATTCATCCACCTTCAGAAGTACCCGGGTATTACCAAGTCCTGAACCTTTCTAGGATTTTGCAGTGAATCAACTTGCTTCTTGTCCTCATTCCATCCCACACCTGTCTCTGCCACCACAGATACTTTGCTTTCACCTTTCTCTGCTATAAGTCAGGTACCATTCATCCATCTGCAGTCTAGCTTCCAAAATTGTGTTGCCGTAGCTAGTCAGCTATTAGCTCCTCTCGTCTCCTCTCTCATTCTCTATGTCCTCATGAGTTTACTCTTTTTTTATTCCTTTACTCTCATTTTAAGGAGCTCTGGTAGCATAATGCCTAAGGCATTTGACTGCTAACCAGAAGGCTGGCAGTTCAAACCTACCAGCCACTCCTCGGAAGGAAGACTGGGCAGTCCACTCAGAAACCCAAGGAGGGGTCACTGAGAGTCAGAACCGACTCAATGGCAGTGAGTTTTTAGTGAGTACTGTCATTTTTTGAAGATTTTGGGAAAGCAGCAAACATAAATGCATGGGTTCAGTCTGCCTTGTTTAACCAAAATCAGTTGTGATCATTTTAAAGATTGTGATACCAGATTCACTTGAAAGCTCATCTTCTCTTCTCCCCTCAGCATCTGTTAGATCTGTAGTTCCAGGGGCTTGGACTTGAGAGAGGAACATAGTCTGTTACTCACCTACTTTTCCTTTCCCTCTTCCCATGTTTGTGCAGGAAATAGGGATAAGGACAGAACGCCTGCCTCTTAACATAACTGAGTAAGTTACAGTCCCTAATTCATTGCTGTGGATTCCGTGAGGCCAGTGTGGTGCACCAAAGAGGTTCTCAGTCTCATGTAACTCCCCTAAACACTGACAGTCTCCTTAAGATTTAGGCACCTCTCCCAGCGCTCTGCTGGGCACATTCAGGCAGTATTCTCACAGTGTGCATTCCTCTCTGCTCTCTCATGCTTCAGTGGTTCAGGCAAGACCATAGCTCCCCAACTCACCTGCCCTCCATAGTCAATGCTGGAGCCAGCAGATACAAGTGAGATCCTCATTTAAAGGTTGGAGGGAGCCAACCTCAACCCTTTTCTCCTGGCAGCCACCCACCATGCCATCTCTCTCCAGTTCTCTTATCCTCTGTTACAGTAGTGAGCCTTTCAGAAATCTTTGCACTCTGTAGAGAAGAAATGCCTGGCTTCTTTGGAGGTCACCAGCAGAAATGATTTCAATTTTAATAAGCACGAAAGAACCACTCATAGCTAAGTAAATGCAATAGCATTATGTGTGTGTGTGTGTCTGTGTATATATATATATGTATGCATGCATATGTCTATATACAGTATTTTACTGTTTAAAATGCTATAAGTATATAGTATCTTATTATTTAAAATACCGTAAGTATATGATATCTGACTATTTAAAAGCTTAGGTAAATTGAGAACTTGGTTCATTTTCAAACTTCAATAAAAGTCTTTCAGAAGCTATTTAAAAAAATCTTCTACACTTTGTGATGGAAAATACTCAGTAAAATTTAAGCAGGGTTTTATAACAGACATGAAAACGAAAACTGTTATTATTAAATCTAGGATAATTACTGCAATTAAGAAAAATAATTGCTTTCTCTTTTTCAAATTAAAGAAGTACTGTCAGGTAAGAAATAAAATATATAATGCTGTTTTCTTCAGCAAAATTTATGCCCGTGTTTTTAATGTAGCACTTATGATGAAAGGTACCCTGGTGGCACAATAGTAAAGTGCTCAGTTATTAAATGAAAGGTTGGCAATTCAAACCCACCAACTGCTCTGTGGGAGAAAGGATTTGGCAATCTGCTCCTGTCAAGAGTTCAGCCTACAAAACCCTATGGGGCAGTTCTTCTCTGTCACATGGGTGTCACATTGAGTTGGAATCGACTCAAGGACACACAACAACAATGGCATTTGTGATTAACAGGATGAACTGTTCCGTACTCTTGCATCTTATAAACTAATTGCACCAAGATACAGATGGCAGAGAAGCAGATGGGGACGTACATGTCCTGTGACTTTAAAAGAAGGTAACATTTATTCAGGATTAGCAGACTTTTCTGTGAGGTAAGTAAGGTTTTCAGAACTTAATTTTTAAAGTTGTTTGTGCATCTTGTCAGTTGCTTATTATTATGGTAAATTTTAAGTTTTCTAGGTAAAATGTACTGTCTTTCATCAGAAGAAGCATTAAAAGCTTTTTCGTTGAATCCACGTCCCTATCTCCTGCCACCTATGCCAGCACCACCATGTAAATTATGCATCTTTGGACCTCAGTGTTCAGGAAAAACAACACTTAGCAATTTGCTTGCTGAAAAGTATAAAGGACAGGTAACTCTATATCCATCCATCTATCTATCTATCAAGCTATTGAGCTATCTATCTATACTAGGTGATAGTTTGTAGGATTTTATTTGTACTCAGTTTTCTTAATTTTACGGTCAGTTGGATAGTTACACCACTGGGCTGTATCATCTCAGTTTTTCTGGGTCAAAAATTCAAGAGTGGCTTACTTTGGTGGGTTTTTTTCTCTACGTTTCTCATAAGGTTATAATTGAGATGATGTTGGGGCTGCATTCATCTAACAGCATGACTGGGGCTGAGAAATGGCTCACCTACATGAATGAGGCATCAGTACCTTGCCATATAGACCTCTCCATAGAGCTGCTTATGCGTCATGCATCTTCATGACGTGACAGCTGGATTTCTCCCGAGGAAGTGATCCAAGCAAGAAACCTCAGTGTCTTGTATTACTTAGTCTTGGAAGTCACACACTGTTGTTTGCACCATACTCTATTCATTTAAAGTAAGAACTAAGTCCTGCCCACACTCGAGAGAAGAGAAATTAGACTCCGTCTTTTGAAGGGAGGAGTGTCAAAGAATTTGATATTTTAAAACCTCCATAATATGTGTCAGACAAAGGGATGATAATTTTAAAATATGAACAGTTTTTACAATTGAGTAACACAGATGAAGCCCAAATGGGAAAAGGTGGCAATTCACAAAATAAGAGCCACAAATGGCTATTAAACATGAGAAAAGAGCTGTCACCTCCCTGATAATTAAAGAAATGCAAAATAATAATGAGATATGTCAATCTCACTGTAAAAATTAAAATACTCCATTTTCCAGGCTGGGGAGAGTACATTCTCATACACTGCTGGTAAGAGTATAATTGCTAGAGATGGCAATTGGGAATATGTAGAAAAGCCTAAAAACAATGTGTATCCTTTGAACTATCAATTCTCTTTTAAGGATTTTTCCTGAAGAAACTATCAGACAAATACACACATACAGAAATTATATTTACCATAGCATAGTTTATAATAGTGAAAATCTGTATAAATCAAAAAACCAAGCCACTACCATCAAGTTGATTCTGATTCATAGCGACCCCCATTGGGTTTATAAGACCATAAATCTTTACAGAAATAGATTGCTTCATCTTCCTCCCGTGGAGCAGCTGGTGGGTTTGAACCACCAACCTTCTGGTTAGCAGTCAAATACCTTACACACTGCATCACTAGAGCTAGAAAAGTATGTATACTTAAATAAATATTACAGTGAAACCTGTGAGAGCTGGAACTTGACTTACGTTTCTGGGTCTCGCAAGTTTTCTGCCTTTGACAGTAGGCAATTTTACCATTTCTATCACTCTCTATTAGTGAAAATATTTGAGTTTTCCTTCTCTGATAGGTTTCCACTTACACAGGTCTGGCTTTGACAGGTTTTACTGTATTGATATTTTAGTTTAAAAAGTTGTAATACATTCACCTAATGCAATATTGTATATTGATTAAAAAGTGATGTGGATATACATTTATTAGCATAGAATAAAATAATATATAAACATGTTGTTGTTGTTGTTATGTGCCATCAAGTCGGACCTGACTCATAGCGACCCTTCCTTGGGTTTCCAAGGCAGTATCACTACAGAAGTAGATTGCTCAACCTTACAAAACAGAATCTAGGGATCTGGCAATATTATTTAAACTTAAAAAGCATATAGAAATCTATTTCTAAGATTCCAACATTCAGAATTAAAAAGCATATAATATACCTGACAAAGGACTTGTATTAGAATATGCACCTACTCCTCACTTATCAACTGTCTTGTTATCTAATATTTTACATTTACAACAATATTAAAAAATCTGCTACCAGAGTATATTGCATATTGACAACATACCTCTGGCAGTAATGATTGCCAAGGTGCAGGGCTAGAGTAATGCTGGCTGTGATTATTAAGGTTAAGTGTCAACTTAGCTGGGCCATGATTCTCAGTGGTTTGGCAGTTATATAATGATGAAATTTGGCAGATAGGTAATGATGTGGTCATCCTCCATTTTGTGATCTGATGTGGTCATCCTCCATTTTTGCATAATGTTGATTTTTACATAATGACCTCATCTTTGGAACCTAACCATGTTGATAAATGAAGAGTGGATGTATAAATAATTCTAACTCAGTCTTTAAAATAGGCAAAGGTTTGAACATACACTCCAAAAAAGAAGATATATGAATGGTCAATATTCATAAAAAGAATCTCAAATTATTAATGATTAGGGAAATATAAATTTAAACTAAATGAGATACTTCTTCAATCCATGAGAATGGCTAAAATTTAAAATATTCACAAAACCAAGTGTTGGTAACTCAGCCCCATGACTCAACTCTCAACCAAACAATAGATGGCTCTATAAGGTGAACAGTGACAGCAGGGAAGTACAGACTCAAAACATCAATCATTTGCGATCAAAAGGGCAGCATTTGCCTAGAGATAAAAGTTCAGATGACAAGACGAGATGGGAAAGAAGAATGAGTGAAAACAGGAAACACAGGGAGGATGTGGGATGAGTGCTGTTACATTGTGGGGATTGTAGTCAAGGGCATAAAACAAATGTTTATGAATTGTTGAATGGAAAACTGATTTGTTGGTAAACTTTCATCCAAATCACGATAAACAGTTTGGGGGAAGAAAAAAAAAAAGCCAAGTTTTGGTGAGGGTACAGAGAAACTGGAACTCTTATAGGTTGCTGGTAGGAATTTAAATAGCATAACTACTTTGGAAAATAGTTGGGCAATTTTTTATAAAGTCAAATATATACCAACCATATGGACCTGTAATTCTCCTCCTAGGTATTTACCCAAGAGAAATAAACACATACGTCCACAAAAAGCAATGTACACAAATGCTTACTGCTGGTTTATTCATAATCGCCAAAACCAGAGACAACCCAAATGTTCATTAAATATTAATGGATAGAAACCTGTGATGTGTATGATAAAAACTCATACAGCAGAATACTAGTGGAAGGGAACGGATTACCGATACATACAGTAAATACAGATTCATAGAATAATACTGATGAATCTTACTGTATTTCTCTAAAGAGAAAAAGCCTGAAAAAGATTACATACTATAGGATTCCATTTATATGAAATCCTATATGTAGTTTATTAATTAACTATAATGACAGAAACCAGAAAGTGTTTGGCAGGGGCCAGGGATTAAAGGAAGGGGAGACTTGCTACAGAAAGAGACCTTTTAATGGTGATGGAAGTGTTCCATATCTTGATTGTAGTTGTGGTTATTGTAGCATAGATTTGAAAAACTCATCAGATTGTATACTTAAAAATAGGCACCTTTCATTGTACATAAATTATACATATAAAGTTTATTTTAAAAATACATGTAACCTGAATATATATTACTTGATATATACATATATATATACATACACACACATCTTACGTGAAAAACATGACTAAATTTCTATGAAAGCAAGTACTGAAAACATCAGTTAATTCTGAAAATAACATCACTCCAAAGGCACCTAAAGCAATATTAATATTTTTGGAGATATAAATTTATATACATTATACATACATATATGAGTGATATATTCAATAATTACAGTAATTAATGTTTACGTTGATTTCTTCATGCAACCTTTGCAGGTTATTGACTATGCCAAACTTGTTCAACCACGTTTTGATCAAGCCCTTGAAAAATTAATTGGAAACACTATAGCCGAAGCCACTGAAGCAGCTATTAAAGTTGTGCAAGACAAGCTTCTCACAGAACTACAAAATAGAAGACAAGGTGAACCATCTTTTAAAAATTCTAGATAATTTAGATAAATAATTAAGCCCATCTACTTGAGGGCAGAGACTTTGTTTTGTTGATCTTGGTAGCCCTAGCACCTTGTACATTGTAGCCTCTTAAATGGTTGAAGGAATGGCTGTGTATAAACTGACAGAAAATCAGTTCTAGCTCTGTAAGGAAAGGAATTGGAAAGAGTTTACAAATTTAAATTTCTTTACTTGTGTGGGTCGGCTTACAGATCAAAGATTATTTGAGCAGTATTTGTATACCTTAATCTACATCAGTCATTAAAACAACCACCACCACCACCACCTACCTGACTTCTGTAGAGCTATTTTGTTCTGTTTTAAGGCTTGGATGTCAGTCTTAAATCACTGAATTTTTCTATGTGGAGAATATTAATTTCAAATTCAGAAAGTCATGAAGTAGTGGAACTGGAAAAAGCCTTATAGATTAATTAATACAATTCTCTGATTTTACAGATGAGGAAACTGAGACCCAAGGAGGTTAAAATTTAAAAAAAAAAAATTCTCAAACCTGTTACCACTGAGTCCATTTCAACTCATAGCAACCCTGTAGGACAGAGTAGAACTGCCCTATAGAGTTTCCAAAGCTGTAATATTTTCTAGAAGCAGACTGCCCCATCTTTCTCCCACAGAACAACTGGTAGGTTCAAACCTCCAACCTTTTGTTTAACAGCCAAGCACTTAACCACTGCATCCCCAGGGCTCCTTAGCATAGTTGAGACTTGAACCTGTGTTTCCAAAGTTCTCATAAAGTGTTCCTTTCTCCTGACCATCCTGCCACCTGCTGTATGTGTCTCACTGACTCCTTATCACCTTACTTTAGAAGAGACACAAAGATTCTTTTTCTGGTTTTCCCCAGGAAAAATGAGTCTTCATATCATGGCTACTTTTGAAATTCTTTAACAGTTTTGGTAGAATTTATATCTAGAGTTAGCACCCTTATAACTGGTCCTGTTAGAACACATGAAAGTAGCTTTATCTAAAGATCTCCTTTTAATGGAATGCTCTGAATGCAGTACTTCATATACATTACATGGGATCTTTCTTACTTTCAAAGATCTTAATCCATAATCCTGGATTAACTCCAGCAATTTTAGACTAAGTTCAACCACCGTGGTTTGGATTTCCCAGAGATATGCCAGTGTTCCTTAATATGGCCTCTATTCTACATATTCTTTTTCCAATGAATTTTTTTTCATTATAAAAGTAATTATAGTTCTGAATTCAAGTCCCACTTGCTATCACAAAAGAATGAATGGTCACCCATTCGCCTCCTTTTTTTAATACAATAAAAATGTCAGCATGTATTGCAGCTGTCGTAACTATAGCAAACAGGTTGACAGATGTTTTCCACTAAGTGTCACAATAAAGAGTACCATGTACTAAAAAAAATGTATTATTATTATTATTATGTTGTTATTGTTATGTGCCGTCGAGTCGGCCCCGACTCATAGCGACCCCTCCTTGGGTTTTCGAGGCAGTATCACTAAGGAAGTAGGATTGCCCAACCTTCCTTCCGAGGAGTGGCTGGTGGGTTTGAACCGCCAGCCGTCTGGTTAGCAGGCAAGTGACTTAGCCACTATGCTACCAGAGCTCCTTATTATTATTATAGTGGATATTTATTGAGCATTTACTATATGGTGAAGCTATGCTAAATGCATTGTATGCATTATCCTATTTAATCTTCATAATAGGCCTATGAATGAAGTAGGTGTTTTTATCTCCACTTCTAGTAGATGAAGAAACTAAGGCTTAGAGAGATTATGTGACTTGCCTTTAACATTGACAGTCAGCAAGTGATTGGAATTCAAATCACTGTCTATACCTTTATCTTCTGTGCCTCAAGTGATCACAGAAAATTGAAAAAAGCAGATGGAAGAAAAAGTCACTCACACTTGTACTCCCCAGAGACATCCACTATTAAGAATTTGGTGCATTCTCTAGTCCCCTCTTTTTTTTCTCTTCATATTTGTCATGATTAATTATGATTCTATGGTATATAACTTTGTAAATACCTACAGACAAATTAGAATGTAACGTTTATTCTAGTTTATAGACTACACTGTTGAATATAACTTTAATAAATCAAGCATATCAGTAATAGTAACCAAATTCTCACTATACTTACTCACTTTATTGTCCATTTGATATCTCAAATTCTGGAAGACATTACAGAGATTATTTGTCATCTTTGGTAAGTGGCCAAGGGTTCTGGGGAGGATTGGAAGGCATGGTCAGCTCAAGGCAATGGTAGTACTTGGCATCTGTGGTAGTTAAGGTTGTGTGTCAACTTGGTTGGGCCTGGTTTTGGTTTTGGGTGGCTAGGCAGCTGGATGTTGTTATTCCTCATGATGAGACTGGTAATCAGGTCCTTGGTGAAATCCTCTGGAGCAGCTGAGTAGCTGCCTCAGGGATGTGGCCTGCTTCCAGTACATAAAAAGAACAGTGAGAAAGGTCTTTGAGCTTTTTGGCATGCCTGCACCCTGCATGTAGCTGAGTCTTCATCTCAAAGTCCTGCCATGTTGTCTGCTGATCTTAGGACTGTTTCTGGACTTGAACTAGTGGCCTACCATGTTGTTTGGTAATCTTGTGACTGTGCCATTGTATTTGTTGTCCTTGGGTTTGTCAGCCTCAGCAGCCAGCAACTGCCTGAGTTAAGAGAAGCCTCTAGCTTCAGTGGACTGGGAGCAAGAGCTGAGCTGAAACCCAAAGTCGAGGGGCTTTCACCTAGCCTCTTGTGCTGGCACTTTGAACTTGGACTTCTTCTAAACTGTAAGAGAATAAACTCCTGTTTGTTACAGCCACCCATTTGTGGTGTTTTCTGTTAGAGTGGCACTAGGTAACCAATCCAGCACCCCTGCTCCTGGCAATGGCACTGGGCTGTGGGTTGCCCTCTCCAGAGCACACTTGATTCTTGCCTGTCACATTGTGTTTCACCTTTCTAAGGCATTGAATAAAAGACACTTTCTCTTTTAAACAGCATCTAATTGGAATTACTTGATCCAACCTCAGACATTTTTTAAAGAGACATTTTAACCCACTTACTAGGTTCTCAGTATATACTCAGTTTTCCTTTTATCAGCTTCTTTGATAGTTTTGATACTTTCTAGTTCTAGCTAATAGGTGAAATACTTTATAATTTACAAAGGGTTTTCACATGTATGATTTCTTTCTCTCCCTCGCCCCCCTTAGGCATCTCTATCATATGCCTCAATCACACTCTTTAGCCCCTATAGACTGTTGTAGTTTGGGGGCAAAGCCTGCTGCTTTTCCTTCTGGGATGATTTCTGGGATTAGCCAGAGATGAGCACCTTGCACCAATCCTTCAGAAAGCCCCAGGCAGGTTAGAACAGACACACACCATAATTTTCAGATAAGATTTGTTCTGCTCACTTGGGAGCCAGGGACCAGGATCCCTTTCTGGGAATGAGGGTTCTTGCAGCTTTAAGACTGCCACCAAGTTGGGGAGGGGTTGGGGCATGGACATATAGAAGCCAAAGATTTATTCCTGCTTATTTTTTTCCCCCTTCACCAAAGTTAGTATCTGCTTACCCTCTATTTAATGATTTACCCTCCCTTCCCTACTTACCCTGATAACCATTAAAGAATATTTCTTTTTGGGTGGAACCCTTTTCTTGATGTTTTACATTGGTAGTGTCAAGCAATATTTGTCCTTTTGTGATTAACTAACTTCACTCAAGACTAGGCCTCAAGCCCCCTAGAGCCAGGAAAGGGAGGGAGCAGAAGCAGCCAGGGATCTCAGGAGCAGCCGGATATCCAGGTAAAGGGGTGGGAGGCAAGGCTAGGCCCCAGCCCCCTAGAGCCAGGAAAGGGAGGGTGTGGCCGGGGACCACAAAGTGGTAGGTTCCAGGTAGGAATTAGGTAAGGGGAGGGTGCAGAGATTTCCAACAGCTAAGGAAGACAAACTTGTCTGTCAGTTTATCATCCTATAGGGCTTGTATGTTTCTGTGAGGCTTGAGGCTGTGCCACTGGTGTTTCATATGCTAGCAGAGTCGCACATAGTGCACAGGTTTCAACGCAGCTTACAGACTAAGACAGACTAGGAAGAAGGAGGAGGCCCTCCACTTCTCAAAAGTTGGCCAGGGAGAACCTTATGAATAGCAGAGAAACACTGTCTTATACATTACTGGACAACTTTATGAATAGCTTGGAACCATTATACAGCACAGTGCAGGAAGATGAGCCCCTTGGGTCGGAAGGCACTCAATATAGGACTGGGAAAGAGCTGCCTCATCAGAGTACAGCCAACCTTAATGATACGGATAAAGTAAGTCTTTCAGGACCCCCATGTACTGACGTGGCATGACTCAAATTGAGGAGAAACAACTGCAAACATCCATTAATAATCAGAACATGGAATATACGAAGTATGAATCTAGGAAAATTGGAAGTTGTCAAAAATGAAATGGAACACATAAAGATTGATATCCTAGGCATTGGTGAGCTGAAATGGACCAATTTTGGCCATTTTGAATCAGGCAATTATATGATCTACTATGATGGGAATGACAAATTGAAGAGGAATGGTGTGGCATTCATCATCACAAAAGATGTTTCAAGATCTGTGCTGAAGTACAATGCTATCAGTGATAGGATAATGTCCATATGCCTACAAGAAAGACCAGTTAACATGACTATTATTCAAATGTATGCACCAATCACCAAAGCCAAACATGAGGAAATTGAAGATATTTATCAACTTCTGCAGTCTGAAATTGACCAAACATGCAATCAAGATGTGTTGCTTATCACTGATTATTGGAATACAAAAGTTGGAAACAAGAAGAATCACCAGTAGTTGGAAAATTTGGTCTTGCTGGCAGAAATAATGCTGAAGATCACATGATAGAATTTTGCAAGACCAACAACTTATTCGTTGCAAATACCCTTTTTCAACAACACAAAAGGCAGATATACATGTGCACTTCACCAGATGGAATACACAGGAATCAGATTGACTACATGAGTTGCAAGAGGAGATGGAAAAGCTCAATATCTTCAGCCAAAACCAGGCCAGGAGCTGATTGTGGAACAGACCATCAACTGCTCATATGCAAGTTCAACTTGAAGACAATTAAAACAAGTCCAAGAGAGCCATAATATGGCCTTGAATATATCTCTCCTGAATTTAGAGACCATCTAAAGAATAGATTTGATGCATTGAACACCAGTGACCAAAAAACCAAAAGAATTGTGGGATGACATCAAGAATGTCATCCATGAAGAAAGCAAGAGGTGATTAAAAATACAAGAAAGAAAGAAAAGACCAAAATGGATGTCAGAATAGACTCTGAAACTTTCCTTCGAGCAAAAAGTAGCTAAAGCAAATGGAAGAAATGAAAAGATAAAAGAGCTGAACAGAAGATTTCAAAGAGCAGCTCGAGCAGATAAAACCAATTACTATAATGAAATGTGCAAAGATCTGGAGTTAGAAAACCAAAAGGGAAGAACATGCCTGGCATTTCTCAAGCTGAAAGAACTGAGGAAAAAATTTAAGCCTCAAGTTGCAATATTGAAAGATTCTATGGGAAAAATATTGAATGATACAGGAAGCATCAAAAGAAGATGGAAGGAATACACAGTCACTGTACCAAAAAGAACTGGTCAATCTTCATCAGGAGGTGGCATATGTTCAAGAACAAATGGTGTTGAAGGAGGAAGTCAAAGCTGCACTGAAGAAATGGGCAAAGAACAAGGCTCCAGGAATTGATAGAATACCCATTGAGATGTTTCAACAAACGGATGGCCTGATGGAGGCACTCACTTGGCTATACCAAGAGATTGGGAAGACAGCTATCTGGCCAACTGACTGGAAGAGATCTAATTTGTACCCATTCCAAAGAAAAGTGATCCCACAGAATGTGGAAATTATCAAACAATATCATTAATATTGCATGCAAGTAAAATCTTACTGAAGATAATTCAAAAACAGTTGCAGCACTATATTGACAGAGAACTTCCAGAAATACAAGCTGGATTCAGAAGAGGATGTGGAACAAGGGATATCATTGCTGATGTCATATGGATCTTGGCTCAAAGCAAAGAGTACCAGAAAGATGGTTATTTGTGTTTTATTGACTATGCAAAAGCATTTGATCGTGTGGATCGTAACAAATTAAGGATTGCATTGAGAAGAATGGGAGTTCCAGAACACTTAATTGTACTCATGAGGAACCTGTACATAGGCCAGGAGGCTGTTGTTCGAGCACAACAAGGGAACACTACACGGTTTAAAATCAAGAAGGGAGTGCGTCAGGGTTGTATCCTTTCCCAACACTTATTCAATCTGTATGCTGAGAAAATAATCTAAGAAGCTGGACCTTATGAAGAAGAATGTGGCATCAGGATTGGAGGAAGAATCATTAACAACCTGCAATATGCTGACAGCACAACTTTGCTTGCTGAAGGTGAGGATGACTTGAAGACTTACTGATGAAGATTGAAGAATACAGTCTTCAGTATGGATTACATCTCAATATAAAGAAAACAAAGATCCTCATAACTGGACCTATAAGCAGCATCACAATAAATGGAGAGAAGATTGAAATTGTCAAAGATTTCACATTGCTTGGTTCTACAATCAACACCAATGGAAGGAAGCAGCAGTCAGGACATCAGACAACATATCTTGTTGTTGTTGTTGTTGTTATGTGCCATCGAGTCAGACCCAACTCATAGTGACCCCTCATTGGGTTTCCGAGGCAGTATCACTATGGAAATAGATTGCCCCATCTTCCTTCTGAGGAGTGGCTGGTGGGTTTGAACCGCCAACCTTCTGGTTAACAGTCAAGTGCCTTAGCCACTATACTACCAGAGCTCCCAGACAACATACAGCACTGGGCAAATCAGCAGCAAAGGACCTCTTTCAAGTGCTGAGGAGCAAAGATGTCTCCTTAAGGACTAAGGTGCACCTGACACAAGCTATGGTATCTTCAATCACCTCACATGCATGTAAGAGCTGGACAATGAATAAGGAAAACCAAAGAAGAATTGATACTTTTGAGGTGTGGTGTTGGTGAAGAATGCTGAAAGTACTGTGGACTGCTAAAAGAACTAACAGGTCTGTCCTGGAGGATGTGCAGCCAGAATGCTCCTTGGAGGCAAGAATGGCCAGACTTTATCTCACATACTTTGGCATGTTGTCAGAAGGGACCATTCCCTGGAGAAGGATGCCATGCTTGGTAAGGTGGAGGGTTGATGAAAGAGGGAAAGGCCCTAAACAAGATGGATTGACACAGTGGCAGCGGCCATGGGCTCAAGTATAGCAAGAATCATGGAGCTGGCTCAGGACCAGGTGGTGTTTTGTTCTGCAATGCATAGGGTCACTATGAATTGGAGATGACTCAATGGCACCTAACAACAACATCAACAACAAAACTTCATTCAGCATAATGGCTTCTTAATTTATCCATGTTATTAGATGTTTCACAGATTCGTCATTGTTTGTTAATGTTGCATAGTATTCTGGTGTATGTACCATAGTTTGTTGATCTATTCCTCCATTAATAGGCATTTATGTTGTTTCCATTTTTTTTTGCTGTTGTAAATAGTGTTGTGATGAATGTGGGTGTCCAAAAATCTGTTCATGTCACGCCTCTTGTTTCTCTAGGATATATACCTAGTAGTGGGATTGTTAGATCATATGGTATTTCTATTTCCAGCTTAAGGAAGCACCATACCATTTTCCATAGTGGTTGCACCATTTTACAATCCCACCAGCGGTGTATGAGTGTTCTATTCTTTAACAACTTGGCCAGAATTTGTTTTCTGTGTTTTTGAACTTTGCTGTTAGTGCTGGGGTGAGATGATATCTCATTGTTGTTTTGATTTACGTGCATGATTTCATCTGTTTTTCAGAACATCTGTGAAGTAAAATATTACTGTTATTTAAGTTTGAGAATAAGTACAGCAACTCTTCCCAAGATGAAAAGAGTTCCTGGCAGAGTTCAGAGTCCAGTGCTAGCATTTGAATGAAACCTAGCCTAGTTTCATTCCACTAGTCAGTTTCCAAGCCTGGAGATCACTGGTGAAGACAGATGGTTGGCCCCAATAACTGGCTGCCTCTCCCTACCCAAGAGCCCCTATAACAACCAATGGGCAAGGGAACCATGAAGATTGATGCTCAGCTCTGGGATCCAAACAAAATCAAGGGGAAGGGCCTGGCAGACTCAGGCAATGTTCCCTGTACTCACCCCAAGCCAGATCCTGTTCCATTCAGCCACCCTTCCTACCCCAGGGATCACCCCTTAGGACACAACAAGGACCAGGGAACCTCAGAAACAACCCCTTGGCCTAATGAGACCTGGCCCCTAAAATACTCAGATTGTGATGCAAATGAAATCACCTCCTAGAACAGCACAAGCCTCAGCCAGACCTGTGGGGGGTTTTAACTTAAAAAATTACAATACAGATGATGGCAGCTAACCTGGAGCAAGAGCCAGCCCTGGTGGAGCATCAGTTACACAATGAATTGCTAACGGATTGGAGGTTCCAGCAGTTCTGGAGGAGAAGGACGAGGCTGTCTGCTTCCATAAAGATTTGTTGTGTGGTTATGTGCCGTCGAGTTGAACCCTACTCATAGCGACCCCTCCTTGGGTTTCTGAGGCGGTATCACTATGGAAGTAGATTGCCCAACCTTCCTTCCAAGGAGTGGCTGGTGGGTTTGAACCGCCAGCCTTCTGGTCAGCAATCAAGTGCCTTAGGCACTATGGAGTTGTTCTGTTCTCTACTGTAGGGTTGTTATGAGTCAGAATCCACTCCCTAACACACAACAACCTGGTGTAGGTTTTCTGTGTGCCAAGAGTTTTCTAAATTAAATGTTTATATTCACCATGTCACTTAATCCTTTGTGTGTTATTTTTTCCTTATTGTTGTTGTTTTAAATACTTTTTAGGGCTTTATTGACTTTTACTAAGTTTCAGTTTATTTCAAATAAAATACTGCAATTGGGACATTGAAAATACAAACTAGTTTACCAAAATAATTATATTCTGAATATTATGTACAATAGTATACATTTTACTTTTCATAAAGAGTTTTTATGCATAAATGTAAGATCTGATTTATGATTTTTAAGATACATTTGAACAAAACATTCCTATGCATACATATACTTAGCATCCTTTAAGCTTTATGATCTACATTTTGGCAAGTAGAGACTGAAACAGGAAGATCAAGTAATTTACCAAGGTTGCACAGCTCCTGAGGGACAAAGTCAGAACTCAGACCCAAATCTGCCTGACTTTAAAGCTGTCTGACTTCAAAGCTTTTCATTACTAAGCCTGTCTGCCCAACTATCTTTTGCTAATACAGCCAATTATTATCTTTCAGCTGAGTCAGCTTTAAGAGAATTTCAAAGACAATTTGAAAGGAAGGAGTATGAACGTGTCCCAATGGAAACATTTAAAAGCCTAGAAGACGTAGACTCTTCAGCTGATGAATATGGTAAAGAATTGTATTGTTGATGTTACTGGTCAAATCTTTCCTAGCATAAATAGATCAGTTGATCAAGCCTATTATTCTTTGACTGTAGTTAACAGTCAAGAATCCCTAAGAGTAGCTATCTAGAGGATACATAAGAAGCCAAAACGAAGACAGAAAAAGTCTTGAATAATCAAAGGGCCAAAAGTTACAGATGGGAACAAACAAAAGGAAGTACAAATGTTATGCTTGTAGATCTTAGGCCCACTTATTTCATATTTGATTATATGTTTTTATTGAGCTTAAAGTTATACTCATACAAATGGAAATGTCAGGAGGGAAAAACCTAGCTGGTTTGAACTGAATAGCTACAGAATAGAAATAGATTTACTGGAATGAGGAAGAAAACATATCAAACAGAGTCAAACACAATTAGAGCCCAAAGAGAAATTTTGAATGTTTTCAGACATGATCCTATCATTATGTAATGGTAAAATTCTCTCTTAAAAGCTCTCTCACTACCTTTGATAAGAGTATCATAAACCTAGTGCTTTAGATGTGAGATTTTATCATACAGTGTTATGTATCCTTGTATTTTTCTCATATTTTAGCATAATTGAAAGCATACAATGAAAACTGTTTTTACCTTTTTTGATGAAAGCAAATGATAAATATTATAACATTTAACAAAAATATTGTATGACTTTATTTGGAAATACTTTAAAATTACTAAACAAATTTCCCTATTTATAGGCAATAGTTTAACCAGTCCTTTATATTATATGTTTAAGTTATTTTTTTTCTTTTTTTTTTTTTTTTTGGTTACTATAAATAATACTTCAATAATGTATTTTACACATGTTAACATAAGTGGAATTACTAGATTGAGTATGAAGATATAGACAGAATCAAATTGCTTTGCATGAAAGTTGTTCCAAATTATGTTCCCCTCAGTAATATATGAAGTACATGTCATTGCTTCCTTAGTTATCTTCTTTCTTTTTAAATATTTTACTTTTATTTATTTATTTCTGAAGTTAATATTTATTAATTATTTATATTTCTTCTTTTTTGAGGTGATCATTTTTCTCTTTGCTCATTTTTCTAAATTATTGTGTCAATTATATCACCCTTATGTAATCTTTATATATTAGCCTTTTATTTTTCACTTTTTCTCCAAAATTGGGTGTTTTGTCTTTTAAATCACTTCCTGCTTTTGAAGTAGAGATATTTTTCATGTTTTTGTAGTCAAGTAATTACTTTTTATTTGTTGATTTCTTTTTATTATTGTAGTAAAAATATAATAAAACATTTGCCAATTCAACATTTTTTACATATGCCTTTCAGTGACATTGGGTGCCTTCACCAAATTATGTAGCCCTCAGCACTGTCTGCTTCCAGATTATTCTACCACCATTAACAGAAACTCAATGCCCCTTAAGCTTTCTTTTTTCCTTCTCCCTCCTATAGCTGGTAAACTTTGGTCTCAAACAAAAAAAAAAGAACCAAACTCATTGTTATGGAGTAGATTTTGACTCATAGAGACCTTATAGGACAGAGTAGAACTGCCCCTAAACAGTTTCCAAGGCTGTAAATCTTTAGGGAAACAGACTGCCACATCTTTGTCCTGCTGCTGGTGGATTTGAAGTGCTGACCATTCAGTTAGCAGCCTAGCACTTTAACCACTATGCCATCAGCACATACATTTGCCTATTTCATAGAAGTGGTATCTTAAACTATTTGTCCTTTTGTGACTGATTTATTTAATAATGCTTTCAGCATTCATCCATGTACATGCTATTAAAATTTGATAGAATTCTTCAGTGAAGCCATCTGGCCTAGGACTTTTCTTTGTTGGAAGATTTTTGATCACTGATTTAATCTCTTCACTTGTTACGGACCTGTTAAGATCCTCTACTTCTTCAGTCAATGTAGGAAGTTTATGTGTTTCTAAAAATTTCTCTATTTCCTCTAAATTACCTAATTTGCTAATGTTCAACTGTTCATAATATTCCCTTACAAACTTTTATTTCTATAGGTTCAATTGTAATGCCCCCACATTCGTTTTGTAATTTTACATATTTACGTCTTCTCTCTCCTTTTCTTTGTCAGTCTAGCTAAAGATTTGTCAATTTTATTGATGGAAACCAACTTTAGGCTTCCATACTCTTCAGGTTTTGATTCCCTCTATTTTCTAGGAGTTTCTGAGAGGCACAAGTATTTAAACGTTTCACTACTAACCAAAAGGTTGGCTGTTTGAACCCAACCAACGGCACCTCAGAAGACAGGCCTGGTGATCTGGTGATGTCCTTCCGAAAGGTCACAGCCTTGAAAACCCGTGGAGCAGTTCTATTCTGCACACGTGGGATCTCCAGGAGGTGAAACTGACTCACCACCAGCAAACAACAACAACAATTGTTTATCTCGTCTCTGTTTCATTAATCTGTGTTCAGATCTTTGTATTTCCTTCTTTCTGGTAGCTTTGGGTTTGGTTTGCTCTTCTTTTTCTAGCTTCTTGTGTTAAGTTATTAATTTGCCATCTTTCTTCTTTTTTAATGTAGGCATTCACAGCTATAAATTTTCTATAAGTTTTGGTATGTTGTGCTATCATTTTCATTCAACTCTAAGTATTTTCTGATTTTTTTCTTTTGATTTCTTCCTTGACCCAGTCATTGTTTAATAATGTGTTGTTTAGTTTCTACATATTTGTGTACTTTTTTCAGTTTTCTTTCTGTTATTAATGTCTAGTTTCATTCCACTGTGGTTGAAGAAGATACTTCATTTATTTTCAGTCTTTTTAATGTATTGAGACTTGCTAAGTGACCTAACCATAGTCTATTCTAGAGAATGATCCATGTGACTAGAAAAGAATGTATATTGAGATTTTGTTGGCTGGAGTGTTCTATATAGCACTGCTAGGTCTGATTGGTTTATGTTGTTGTTCAAGCCCTCAATTCTTCATTAATCTCCTTTTCAGATGTTCTCTCTATTATTGAAAGTGGTGTATTGAAGTCTCCATATATCATTGTACAACTCTTTTTACCTTCAATTCTGTCAATGTTTGCTTTATATGTTTTGGGCCTCTGAAGTTAGGCACATATATAACTGTTTTATCTTCTTAATGAATTGACCCTTTTATTATTAAATAATGTCCTTCTTTGTCTCCTTGTTGTTGTTGTTGTTAAGTGCCGTTGAGTCATTTCCGACTCATAGCGACCCCATGCACAGCAGAATGAAACACTGCCCGATCCCGCGCCAGCC